AATTTAAATCGTCTCTCTCGCTTCGACTTTTTGCCATTTAATATTAACGTTGTGCTTTCACCGCGCATTACGATACATCGCGTGCCCTGTGTAACGCGGTTCATTATTCACGCGATAATTCGCAGTTGCTTCTCCCGATGCGATTATCACGAATGACCACTCCGCTTGGCTGCGGCGTGGAAACGTTTCTAGTGCGATGAAGGGATATTAAATTCCTACATTACGCAACGATTCCTAGTATCGAGATCGATGTGATATAACATAAAACACGCTAACACGCCGCCGGCAAAATATTTAGATATTCGAGCCAAATGACGTAATTTTTCCGTGCGCTGTCATGTCGTTATCGCGACGAGTCGGAGAGCGCCGCGCCGCTGCGCTGCGCGCTGCCACGCGAAGCTTATCGGGACGGTTTAAATTTTGATTGCATATTCGATGATGCGTGTACGCATGCACGCACTCGCGCTCAACCCCGGCAACGAGGTAACGCCGGACGAAATGCCGCGCGGCGCGTCCGATGGCGGCAGTTTCATTTTATAGTTAATCGCTCTTTATCGAGCCAGTCGGCCGCAGTTTCCGCGTAAATTATTGCTGTCATAAATTTATCCCCGATCGGTAATTATCGGGCCGAGCCATCCGCCGGAACGGGCGCGAATTACGAGCCAATTCCAATTGGCGTTTCAGTCACTCTCTATCGCGCGGCGATGCGGCGGTTATTGTTACCGGGAGGCCGACTTGAACGATTTACTGCAGTGACCTTCGTTTAAAGCGCACGGCGGATTAACAATTTTGGGCGTTTCACGAATTTCCTATTACGGCGTCACGCTTATCCGCCGCCGCCGCGCGCGCGAGCGATACGCAATTGCGGTAACTGCGAGCTCGCCGATAATAGCTGCACGGCGGATTGAATTGCGCGGAACATAACTGCATTGTTAACGTGAATTATAATTGCATCGAGTCGCTGCAGCATTTTCAACACGCTCGCTCTCTCTATTTACCTCTTTCTCACTTTCATATTTCCTGCTACTCTCTCACTCTCACCGGCGCGATGTCCTCTTGCGCATTTAATGACGCAAACGTGGTCCATGAAGCGCGTTAAAATCTCGATAATAATTAATGTTTGCGATATCGAATGTTTGTACGTGACGCGATTACACGAGATTAACGCGAGACGGTGTAGCCGTAAGTTTGTTTTACAAATGCGAAGCGTTACATATCGAGTATTTGAGGGTTTCTATTAATTTACGCTACGAACAGCAGCGATAACGGTTTCATTTATCATAACACAATTTTTATATGTATTTGCAGAATATATTTCTACTTATGAATAGGACGATTGTAATTTCCGGAGAATCTGATTTGCCGTTTATCTACAATGTAGAGAGGACAGACGCGAAACGTGACAAATAGAAGATTACGTTTGTGCTATTCCCACGATCGCCGTCGAAATTAGCATGTGGCTACGCGTATCTAACGGGTGGACACAATCGAGTGTGCGTGCAGGTTACCGCGAGCGATTGTAAAGCTCACACGAAAGGTAAGCGAGCGATCATAGATCGTAGATAAGTACAGTCCAGACGCCAACATCATTTTCAGCTTCGAGAAGTGTGGTCGCGGTGTCTAGGGTTGTGGGAACCTGACCGTTGTAGTTATGCAGTCAATTGCAAATACAACATTGTCTGTGACATGCAAAGATGCAACGAAGGAAACATTAACTATTATATTAATGCAATCATTAAATAACGGTAATTATTTTTAGCGACCGAGCAAACTGTTGGAATTATGTAAGACCGAGATAACGAGAGTTATGGCTACTTTTGCAATTTGTTTAAGCGGATCGATATTCGTTTAAACGAAGTTTGCCTATCCAAACGCCAATTATTATTTATGTAACATTAATATTTCTCAACGTTATAATCGGATTGGGTGAAACTTTCAATTAGCAGTAAAAAATTTCGAGATCAAAATCGCAAATTGTACGTCAGAGATGTTTCTTCCTAGTCAGGAAATTAATTTTGTTCAGTGAAGTCGTCAATTTACTTTAAAATTGACAGTCCGAAAAGTTACCCTCGTAATCGTGCATTTGTCTTCGGACGCGATCTTAGCCCCCGCCGATAATATTTCAGGTATAACGCGGCCTATTTAGCCGGTGGCAATTGCCGCGTCCTCGTAAACGAGTCTACTTATCCGGGGGGCTGATTTACCTCCCTCGCAACGCGCGTCGCCGCAACACCGCTTCCCGTTGGCAGAATGAGCAATGGTCCGAAACGGACGGGAACAGCTTGTTAATTAACTCAATTAAATTGTCAGGTATTACTTTCGTTCTACCATCTATCCACGCGCCCCTCTCGTATCCCCGTAATATTTCCATAACAGAGGACGGGTCGTTATCCTCGAGCGTGCCGTAAATTCAAATAATCCGAGTGTGTGCTTTATTATATAATTTTCGTCGCGGGCTTTCGTGTGCCCGGCTACGAGAGACAATTGGGAGAAAGAGCAGCCCTCTAACGCATCTCCCGCGACGGACTTATCGTGTTTCCGAATAGAGTCGTCGCACCAGGTGCTGGCCGTCCTCGAAAACAAGAATAATTACACGATTTCGCGGTGGAAAGGACCGGAAAAAGGGATGCACGAAAGGGTAGTGGAGGAGGAGGAAAAGCTGACATCGGTTTCGCGGACGGCAACGGCGGCGGTGGTGGCCACGTACTTTACAGGGACAAGCGGCTTATAGCCAGCCATGTCGGTGAACATAATTCATCCGGCGTAACTCGGTGTCTCTCTTTTCCGTTACCGGCAACACGTTCCAACGCACTTCGCGCGAGCGGTGGAAGCGGGAGGAAGTCACCCTGCCCTTATTTATGGTATTGCGCAACTGTACATTCAGATTCGGTCGCCGTTCCGCAGCGGCAGGGCTCCGTCTACGGAAAATGGCTTTTGCCAAGGCGTTACCGAATTATTTATATACAGGATGGAGGATCCCGGTTAACCAAGCGGCCTCCCCAAATCTGTCCTCGATTCGTTGAAGTTCATTCCTTTGGTAGTCGCGAATTTAGTTCCGGATTGCGCGCTTTATGTGGTTGCGATAATTGTACTTAAGTGGCGCCTTTGAAAGCGGGTTTCATGAAGGAAACCATGCTATTATCAAAGTACTCTGTTTATCTGCTAGCTTTATTCTATGTCCCTAAGTGAAAAAGCATTCTCGCAGCACGAATTGCATAGTTGTTGAATTTCTAAAAATGACTATTACCTAACGAACTATTAGTTGCTAATTTTATTATTTTCTTTTCTTTGTCCGAAAGTTCAAGTTTTAATAAGCTATTTGCTATTCGAAGGGCAATATTTATGTTGAAAAAATTTTACTTAAGACGGATAGAGACAATAAATCTGATGATTTTTTGTAATTTGCAAACTCTTGCTATGCCTAGATAAGGTGACAGACGGAGACAGGAGGAGTACGTTTCTCCGTGAACAAATCGAATTCAACACAAATTAGCGCCAGGGTGGGTTTACGAATCCGTCTTGTTGTCATGAGAAATAATTGCCGCGAGCATTCCCGCAAGACGAAAGGGAGGCTCTCGCCTTTTCCCGCGGGGTTATAATGCCGGGGACGAGCCGCCCGCGGTTATTAGTTTAGGAAGCTGCAAAGTACCTCGAAACAAAGTCTCCTCTCTCTCTGTCTCTCCATCAGGTAATCAATATACAGGCGACGACCCCTGTCTCGTTTCACCTTGTCGGTTAGCATGAACCACCGGCGAGAATCCCGGCTTACTTGTTTGGTTCGTTCCAGGCGTTCGGGATAGCCGGCAGACAAGCAGTATCTTTAGCTAATAAAGCATCCCCTTCCGCTTCATCTCGTCCTCCCCCCCTCCCTTACGGAGGGCGGCCGACCAAATTATAATACGCCCACCTCGTGTTTCTCCCCCGAAATGCTCTCAGACTTGATCGCTTTTCATCACGAAGCCGATTACGCGACCAGCATCCTCGAATATCTTTTTTGCCTTTGCAGTACTTTCGAATATCTTTCCCGTAAACTTCCCGCTTAATGTACTTTCAATTGGATAGTTTGCGGTTACTAGGGAGGTAGGTAGAATTTGGAAGTGGTTAACCATGTTGGACACGCTCAATTTTTTCACGCCGATTTATTTGATGCGTAATAAGGAAAGGAAAAGATTAACTGAGAACTTTACTAAAATCACTCAAGCTTTTTTAAATGCGTAGAGAATGTGCAATTAGAAATTTTTTAAAACAAAATATGAAGTAAAATTTTGCAATTTTTCTTGCATTGTATTTTTTGCGGAATTTAATAAGTACGTATATCGTAGTACAGCATCTCTGATGCGTTTCGAACTTCCCGGTAATTTTTGCAGATGTCTGGCGAGCATCTGCCTCAATTAAGTAGTGTTTAACCTGTAATTTATTCCACCGGCAACGGTCGGACGCTCGCAATTTACGCTTTAAATTGAAATGTAAAATTATCGTAGTGCATTGGATTTCCGATTGAAGAGCTCGGAGCGAGAGTGGAATAAATCTATAATTTGTAAGGTCTGCTTAAAATCTGAAGTTTGTAAAATCTCGTAGATTACAGCTTTACGCTGTTTCGAACCCTTCAATTTCACGCTCTGTATACATATCCTTCCTGATTTTGCAACTTTGAATTTTTTGCAACTAATATAAATCGACATCAACGCTGTAATGGGTCATAAGGCATCATTTATCTAAAATTGTCAAGTTGTCACGAAAGAGAAACCCCTAAGCAATCGCGTGTATTTCATAAATTACGCGGTTGCAGGTTGGTGCGTTATTTACACGGACAATATATACTGTTGATAATAATGGAAAAGCAGTTGTTAGTGCAGCATAGAAAAAGGAATGACCAAGACACGTTCGCTAAGCTCGGCAAACATTGCGTAATTCACGTCGCGTACGCGTCATAGTTTGTTTGCACGTTGTTAAGCCGCGGCGAGAGTTAGAGAATAATTCTGTTCATTTCTCTATTTCAGTCCAAGCAGTACGGCGCTGGGTTCGCTGGACCAACTGAAGGAATATCTGACGACAGTGGGAACCTGCAAATGCGGCCTCGAGTGCCCGCTCAGACCCGAACAGGTTTTCAACTTCGACCCCAAGGTAAATATGGATTTATAATATTTCCAAGAGAAATCAACGCTATTTTAATCAAATTCCATTATTTTATTATTAAATTGTTGACATTTTGTATTGCGTAATACGAATATATTCGTATTCCACTACGCAAAAGGAAGAACGTAATAATGTGTTTGACAAAAAAATGTTGAGCTTTTATCAGGCTCCTCGAGCTAATATGAGCAATTTCCGCAATAAATCGCATTATCTTGGTTACTTGGAAATGATTATTGCGAAGTAAGTTTACCTTTGTCTAGGCGATTAAAAAATCAAGCAGGCATATAATAAAGAGATCCCGCTATTAAGAATTGTTAGACTAAAGCTGTGATACACATTTGCTTAATTTAGCTAAAATTACGCGTTGCAGTTCTGATGCATATACATAAATCTCTTCTGAGATTCCTTTTGCATGATAGAGTCGAGTGATTAAAATATCTCCTTTTCGCGTTCCGATTACGTTCTCGTTTCATGAGCGTAATCAACATGCGATGACGCTCTTACCATAATCACGCAGCACCGAAGAGAGATCTCCCGAGTTAGCGTTGCAGCAAACAAGTCAATACAGTCTCGTCGCATGTAAGCGTGATATACACCGACGAGCTGTTGCAGGCCAAGTATATGCAGGCGGTGTCGCGCTTATTCGGGACGTTCATTATGTTTTATCCTTTTACATTTGTACCGTCGAGAGAGAGTTATTTTGACGCGTCGCGACGGCGAAAGTTCACAGTACAACCTGTTATAGCTGCGCGTCACGAGCATGAGCATAATCACGCTTAATCGCCGACGGCAGTTAGGCACCGTTTATTTATTTATCGTGCGTTCGTAATTGGTCCGCGTTCTCCGTGTACATGCAGCCTCGCGAGTCTCGTGACTTACCGGGGATAAAATATCGCTATTGTGCGTGCAGACGACGGCGAGGCGTCTCGCCGAGAATGTATCGCGCCGTGCCGATCTCACCTTCTCCCCGAATCGATTAGGAAGTGTAATTCTTTCTCGTGACGAGTAGGAAGAAATTATTTCTCGTGACTGAACGAAAACCTCGATTAAGCGTTACCGTAATCAAAGCGCGTGGCTCGATGGGTATCTAAGAAAGAAATCTCATTTCCGTTATATTTAACAATTTCGAATCATTTAATAATTTAATAGACACAACGCTATTTAAAATACGTAGAACTTATTATGTTCTACAATCAGTGTGGCTTATATTAATTATCGTAATCGGCAAATATTGTTCGGTAATATTTTAATTAAAATGAAGAAATATCGCGATTGTGTGACAAAAAAAGTCCTACGCGGCTAAAATGTCAAAGAACATTTAAAATTGATTTTGTATTAATAATGAAGCATGTTTTTATTATCCTTGTTTGTTATTTAACAGCAGCGTGTAGTTGTAAAGTGTAAAGTACTAGAGATTTCTCTGTGGTGCATGTTAACAACGGTATCTTATTAAGCGCTATCATTTCCCGACAATCTAGTGTTCTCTCGATTCTACTGAAAGTTCTCTCTCTCTCTCTCTCTCTCTCTCCTCTCTCTCTTTCGTTTCGAGTTCATAGAAACGACGATGAATCACGTCCGTGGAGCAGTCCCGGAAAATCGTACCTCTCACGAAACATCGCCGCGAACAAAACACAATCGAGCGTCCCGGCGCTATTTCTGCCGGCACGGCTGCCGTAAATACGTAATTTTTCTTACTTCCGCTATTTAGATATTTATGGTGCATTCGCGAGAGCGCGGCGGCACGTATCTCGGCCCGCGCCAACGATCCCGAAGAAATATCGCGATCGTGCGTGCCAACGATCGCGGCTTATTAAGAAATATCGCGCTCTGGGCACGTAACCGTTGTTCACCCATGAAGCGAAATGTGTGCGTCCGCTTCGAAAAAGGGTGCTCTGCATTTTGCGTTTATGATGCGATCTCTAAAACTCCGTAACGCGTGCCGATGTTCGACCGATGATTATCGAAATCATTTCACGGCGATCGGTCGATTGTAGTCGCGTCTTCGATTCCGCAAGATTAATTTTTGCGTACCGGTTTTTCGGGAGGGAGATAAAGGGTATAATAAGGCTAATTTCGTGCCGGGCTTCAGCGCATAAATTAAAAATTTAGGAAAGTATTGGACACGTCGCGCCGGTAGGTAACGGGGGACGAAGAGAGAAAGAGAGAGGGAGAGAAGAAGGAGGAAGGAGGAGAGAGAGAGGACGCTCATCAGTTTTGCTTAATTATTCCGGTAGCATGCGACGATATACGAGGAAAACGTATAATTATCCGTGCACCTGCTTGCTAACCACTCACTCAGCCGCTGTTGCTCGCCATCGTATACCCAGTGCACCATCGGTGCGTTAATACGTTCCCTAATTAAAGTTTATCGTGTTTCACCGATCTGAGGAGAGACTCCGGACATAGGTATACCGATCCGGTCCGCCGTGTCGACGACACAACGATCAACACGCTAATAATTAATAATCATTTGCATATCTCTAACGCCGTAACATGAATACGATACGAATCATATCGGGTTTATCGACGATAGCTTATAATTACCGCTGACATCTCTCGTCGCTTTCATCCCTATACGAATCATATATAGATTCTTCGGAAATGTGAAATCAATAATTTAGCCAATAGTCACTGTTATTTATATTCCAGTTCGAAAATCGCTAGACATAAGCTTACTTTGATAAATACGTGTAAATCTTTTAATACCATTTTTTAATATTTTTTAAATGTTGAATTTTTCAATGTCATTTTTTTAGTATTAAAAAAATTAAAAAATGGCATTGAAAGATTTAATCATTGTATCACTGTATCACAACGTCATACTCAATGAAGTGGAAAGTAAAATATAAATGTTCAACTCTCTTAATAAAATTTTTAACTCTTCGGCGCGTAACGTCTCAATGGCACTGAAAGACTTAAAATAACAGCCACTACGGCGCGATCGTATCGAGATATCTTAGACGCATTTCCACGATGCTTCGCGCGAGCAAAGCGGACTATCTTCTGACATTCCCCGGCGAGTATAGATAGTATCGTGGCATTCACAATGCAAACTCACCTGGACAATAGCACTCGAGTGCTCGTCCGTCTCGGATAAAGAGGGGAAGAGAGTCTGGAGGAGAAGTACGTGGATTGTCGAGTGAAATCGGCTTGGTTGCTCGGGCACTTCGCGCTGCATCTCGAAGTGCATCGCTTTCGTTCACGGCAGTCGGCCTCTCGAATCGCGACACACGGCGAACACGGCGACACGAGATTATTATGGTAATCGAGCAACATCGCTCACGGTTCCGTCACGGCTCTCCCACGCTTTTTTCGCTGAGGTCTCAATGCGTCAGATTGGATAATCGGAACGATATCACGCCTGCTCATACAATAGGTAGTGGGAGCGCGAATAAAAATTATATTCACGAAAAGTACAAGTACGATCTTTATTTTATCAACGTATATATTGATTTACCTTCCTCTTTTCGAAGTAATCTATAAATTGAACCTATCTTTTTGAGCTAATGACACAGCGCGATAAATAATTATATTTTTGACGTCTTACACCGTGTACCGTTACTGGCAAAATATTACGGCAAGCGGACCTGACGCGTTTTAATATGGACCTGACGCAGGCCGGGTAATATCAGAACACGCCGCGATAATGGATCGACTTCGCGATACGAACTTTGATACAACGTCTTTCTCAAACGACTCGCTCTTGGCGCATTTACAAGCAGCGCACACACACGCGCGCGCTCGCGTGCACGCACGCGTGTCCATGAGTATCTCCACCTGCATTAATCAGGCACCGTAACTATCGAGGCGATCTCTCACGGTCTATACCATCTGCCGGAGACAGCAGCCTTAACGTCTCTCTACGGACCTTTGATTTGGCTCGATTCTTTATCGCCCCCGCGCTACCGGCCAGCCGGGTTCCCGTCTTTCTGCCTTTTCTCCCGATGCTCCTTTTGTAACTGCCGACGTTTCCGCCTATTGTTGCGCATACAACGGCGCGAGAAATCACCGATGTGGGGAACGATTCCTCCGGTTTCCCGCGGCAGTGTATCCTCGAAATGTTATCGCATAAACGGAGCGTCGCGTCCATGAACTCCGCGTTGGGTTCAGCACGTAAAAAACTCTTTTTAGAACAGCAAATTCTGATCGCGATATCGTTGGAGTAATATCACTCTTTTTGCCAATTTTTTCCTAGATGCACTTGCTGCCTATTATGTTTGATCTGATACCGATTAAATAGGTAGCGACTGTGAGAAGAGGGTGATCGTGTAACGATACGATTTTACGAGTGTCATAATTAACACGAAACAAATTACGTTTCTTATCGCGCCGGCGCAATGATATTTCGACATTCAGAAGCCAGCATAAAGTTCTCATTTGTCGTAAGTCTATCCGGTACCCGTCTGCGTTTCGAGGCGTTAGTTTATGGAGTTGTTGCTATCCATTATCGCTTTCAGAGGAACGGCAGGATGACTCGGGTGTGTCTCGACGAATGTATTAGACGAGCGCTTAAGCTCGCATACGAGTTGCGCCGTGACGTTAACAAAGGGTAAGCGAGTACCCTTTTATTACACCAAGCCCGTCTCGCTTAAGCCCGTGCGTAAAGTAATTTGCCTTAATGAATTTGCATCTTCTCTTTCCATCGCGTTTCTCTCTGCTTCCGTCCCGTTTCCTCCGGCCTGCATTTTTGATTCACAATTAAACGGCAGTTACCTCCGTCTAGGAAAAATCTCAATGAAAACATTTTTCTCGGGACCGCTACTCAACTTCTCGCTAGCAGCTTTCGCGAGAATACGCTTTTAATCCTTTGCATTAATTATAATATACTTTTTAGTGTCGTTTTTCCATTACTTCTATAATGTTTTTACTTGGTTAATCATATTCAACAATCACCAAAAATGTTAAAACATTTTATGGCAAATTTAATTCCCTTTTTTTTTTTAAATAGAAATGCACATATTAAATTAATCGTTACATATTTATCGGCT